TTATTGATGAAGTCAGTGATTGATGTGGTATACTCATCAATGCCATCGGATGAATCCCGGAACATATTCCAGTCTGTGCTAGCAAAACAGTCCTGTAGCTTAGCATCTGTGTTATATTGTCCAGGGACTGAACGATAGCGAGTAATATAATCGGAAGTGGTGGATGGTATGCACGCCACCTGAATCTCATTAGGGCCCGACTCCTTCTACCTCTTCTCCGGCATCTGCGTTTTGGTGCGGGGGAGGGGTGTTGGCCAGAGAAAGCTCAAGAAGGGGTTGTGTTGGCAGGGGGGGATATTGCTGAAGAAAGGGGGAATGTTGGCAGGTTTAAGGCTGTTGAAAGGGAGCTCTGGCTGGGGGGAAGGCTAATAGAGGAAGCTGGGAGTGGGCTGTGGAAGAATGGGAGGGGTGACCTGGTTTGGCAGTCTAAGGAAGTCATTTAGAGATGGGGTTTAGGTGTTGAACTGTTCTGGCTACATGGCGTGATCATTGAGAGATTGGGTTAAGGGTTAAGGGTTAAGGGTGACATTGTCTACAAAAGGGATTGCTTTGGCTATAGGGACTGCCTTGCCTATAAAGAAGGCATAAATAGAGAAGGGGCTACCTTGGCTGGGAACGGACTGCCTTAGCTACAGAGACAGATGGGAGAGGAGGCTGGCTATGGGTCTTTGACTATGGAGCTGTATTTAGCTCTGGAGAAGATGCTGCCATGGCCTGGGAACACTGGGGAAGGGTTGGGTGCCTTTCTTGGTTGGATGGATGTAAAGAGTTGCAGAGTAATTGGGTGACCGGACTGCTCCAGAGAAGAGGTTGCATTGGCCTAAAACTGCTGGATAAGGGTTGCATTGTATGGAGAAGAGGTTGCATTGGCCAGATAAAGCTCAAGAAGGGGATGTATTGGCCAGAGAAAGCTCGAGAACAGGTTTTATTGCCCAGAGAAAGCTTGAGAAGAGGTTGCATTGGCCAGAGAAAGCTCAAGAAGGGGATGCCTTGGCCCAGTACGGCGGCCTGCATTGGCTGGGTAGAATCCTAGCACCACAGGCCTCTGGCTGGGGTGATCCCTACATAAACCCAACCCTGGAGAGGAGAACCAGTGGAGAGCCAGATGTTCTCAGCATGATAATGAACCTAACACACATCATGGAGGTGAGATGGAGTGCTGCTCAGCGGTAGTTGGCCACAGGGCTGACAGCTCACCAACACCAACTCCAGGGGGCTCGCCACACACAGAGTAGGATGAATATAGCTCCTACACACAGATCAGTTTTGCACTGGCTTAATGGGTAAAAGTTTGGATTTTAGGTTATTTAAGGATGATCCTTGAACTAAATGTATAGGTGTCTTTGGTTACTCCTGGAGCTAAAAACAGCTCTACACTAACCAGCACCTGTTTTATCACAAATTATTCCAATGTATTTGTTTGATCACAAAGAATATCACCTTGTCAGACACCTCCAGCCTTTTTCGAACACTTCATCAAATTCCACTTAATCTACACTGAGCGTAAACCGTTAATGGATCTGTACCTTAGCCTAAATCACATTCCTCTATTATGAGGCACTTCTGAGTTGACACAATTTGTTAGTGATCTCAGGTAGGACTTTAGTAGTGGAGAGAGGACCGCCATAGTGTTTTAGTAGTGGAGAGAGAGAGAGGAGAGAGAGAGAGAGAGAGAGAGAGAGAGAGAAGAGGAGAAGAGAGAGAGAGAGAGAGAGAGAGAGAGAGAGAAGAGAGCGAGAGAGAGAGAGCGACCACCATAGGGCTTTAGTAGTGGAGAGAGGGAGGACCGCCTTAGGGCTTTAGTTTATCATTATTATTATTATTTTATTTATTTTATTTAACCTTTATTTAACCAGGTAAGCCAGTTGAGAACAAGTTCTCATTTACAACTGCGACCTGGCCAAGATAAAGCAAAGCAGTGCGATAAAAACAACAACACAGAGTTACATATGGGGTAAACAAAACATAAAGTCAAAATTACAACATAAAATATATATACAGTGTGTGCAAATGTAGCAAGTTATGGAGGTAAGGCAATAAATAGGCTATAGTGCAAAATAATTACAATTAGTTTTAACACTGGAATGATAGATGTGCAAGAGATGATGTGCAAATAGAGATACTGGGGTGCAAATGAGAAAAATAATTAACAATATGGGGATGAGGTAGTTGGGCGGGCTAATTTCAGATGGGCTGTGTACAGGTGTAGTGATCGGTAAGGTGCTCTGACAACTGATGCTTAAAGTTAGTGAGGGAGATAAGAGTCTCCAGCTTCAGAGATTTTTGCAATTTGTTCCAGTCATTGGCAGCAGAGAACTGGAAGGAATGGCGGCCAAAGGAGGTGTTGGCTTTGGGGATGACCAGTGAGATATACCTGCTGGAGCGCATACTACGGGTGGGTGTTGCTATGGTGACCAATGAGCTAAGATAAGGCGGGGATTTGCCTAGCAGTGATTTATAGATGGCCTGGAGCCAGTGGGTTTGGCGACGAACATGTAGTGAGGACCAGCCAACAAGAGCGTATAGGTCACAGTGGTGGGTAGTGTATGGGGCTTTGGAGACAAAACGGATGGCACTGTGATAGACTACATCCAATTTGCTGAGTAGAGTGTTGGAGGCTATTTTGTAAATGACATTGCCGAAGTCAAGGATCGGTAGGATAGTCAGTTTTACGAGGGCATGTTTGGCAGCATGAGTGAAGGAGGCTTTGCTGCGAAATAGGAAGCCGATTCTAGATTTAAGTTTGGTTTGGAGATTCTTAATGTGAGTCTGGAAGGAGAGTTTACAGTCTAACCAGACACCTAGGTATTTGTAGTTGTCCACATACTCTAGGTCAGATCCGTCGAGAGTAGTGATTCTAGTCGGGTGGGCGGGTGCCAGCAGCGTTCGATTGAAGAGCATGCATTTAGTTTTACTAGTGTTTAAGAGCAGTTGGAGGCTACTGAAGGAGTGTTGTATGGCATTGAAGCTCGTTTGGAGGTTTGTTAACACAGTGTCCAATGAAGGGCCAGATGTATACAAAATGGTGTCTTCTGCGTAGAGGTGGATCTGAGAGTCACCAGCAGCAAGAGCGACGTCATTGATATACACAGAGAAAAGAGTCGGCCCAAGAATTAAACCCTGTGGCACCCCCATAGAGACTGCCATAGGTCCAGACAACAGGCCCTCCGTTTTGACACATTGATCTGAGAAGTAGTTGGTGAACCAGGCGAGGCAGTCATTTGAGAAACCGAGGCTATTTAGTCTGCCAATAAGAATGCGGTGGTTGACAGAGTCGAAAGCCTTGGCCAGGTCGATGAAGACTAGTAGTAGTGATGAGAGGACCAGCATAGGGCTTTAGTAGTGGAGAGAGACCACCATAGGGCTTTAGTGGTGGAAAGAGAGAACCAGCATAGGGCTTTAGTAGTGGAGAGAGAACCAGCATAGGGCTTTAGTAGTGGAGAGAGAACCAGCATAGGGCTTTAGTAGTGGAGAGAGAACCAGTATATAATATATAATAATATAATATATATATAATTGGTCATTTAGCAGACGCTCTTATCCAGAGCGACTTACAGGAGCAATTAGGGTTAAGTGCCTTGCTCAAGGGCACATCGACAGATTTTTCACCTAGTGGGCTCGGGGATTAGAACCAGCGACCTTTCGGTTACTGGCACAACGCTCTTAACCACTAAGCTACCTGCCGCCCTAAAGCATAGGGCTTTAGTAGTGGAGAGAGAACCAGCATAGGGCTTTAGTGGTGGAAAGAGAGGACCACCATAGGGCTTTAGTAGTGGAGAGAGAGAGACTACCATAGGGCTTTAATATTGTAGAGAGAGAGAGACCACCATATGGCTTTAATATTGTAGAGAGAGAGACCACCATATGGCTTTAGTATTGTAGAGAGAGAGACCACCATATGGCTTTAATATTGTAGAGAGAGAGACCACCATATGGCTTTAGTATTGTAGAGAGAGAGACCACCATATGGCTTTAATATTGTAGAGAGAGAGACCACCATATGGCTTTAATATTGTAGAGAGAGAGACCACCATAGGGCTTTAGTATTGTAGAGAGAGAGACCACCATATGGCTTTAATATTGTAGAGAGAGAGACCACCATAGGGCTTTAGTATTGTAGAGAGAGAGACCACCATAGGGCTTTAGTATTGTAGAGAGAGAGACCACCATATGGCTTTAATATTGTAGAGAGAGAGACCACCATATGGCTTTAATATTGTAGAGAGAGAGACCACCATAGGGCTTTAGTAGTGGAGAGAGAGAGACTACCATAGGGCTTTAGTATTGTAGAGAGAGAGACCACCATAGGGCTTCAGTAGTGTAGAGAGAGAGACTACCATAGGGCTTTAGTAGTGTAGAGAGAGAGACCACCATAGGGCTTCAGTAGTGTAGAGAGAGAGACCACCATAGGGCTTTAGTAGTGTAGAGAGAGAGACTACCATAGGGCTTTAGTAGTGTAGAGAGAGAGACCACCATATGGCTTTAATATTGTAGAGAGAGAGACCACCATAGGGCTTTAGTATTGTAGAGAGAGAGACCACCATAGGGCTTTAGCAGTGACTAGAGAGAGACCACCATAGGGATTTAGTAGTGGAGAGAGAGAGACCACCATAGGGATTTAGTAGTGGAGAGAGAGAGACCACCATAGGGATTTAGTAGTGGAGAGAGAGAGACCACCATAGGGATTTAGTAGTGGAGAGAGAGAGAGACCACCATAGGGCTTTAGTAGTGGAGAGAGAGAGACCACCATAGGGCTTTAGTAGTGGAGAGAGAGAGACCACCATAAGGCTTTAGTAGTGGAGAGAGAGAGAGACCACCATAGGGCTTTAGCAGTGGCTAGAGAGAGAGACCACCATAGGGCTTTAGTAGTGGAGAGAGAGAGACCACCATAGGGCTTTAGCAGTGGAGAGAGAGGACCGCCTGGGAGCAGAGCTTTGCTTGACCTTGCAGGTTTCTGGCAGGCAAGGCTATTTGGGATGTAGTCTTTTCTCCTGTTTTAC